CCTGAACACCCAGGCACATACTGCATGGCTGTGCTCATCTGGATGCGGCCTTTGATGAAATAGCTCCTAGAGAACATCTAGGTCAGCCACCTGTTTCTTTGCCTATTCAGGAGGTGAACACCATTTTTGACTCCTTCCTCCCCAAAAGGAAAATATCTTCAATAAGTGTTTTCTTGTTGGCACTTGACTGTTTTAAGAGGTATTCTTAATACCACTGGTAATCAGCAGCCTAGTTACGGGTTGGCAGATCGAAATACCTACTCAGTCTCCTCGCCCCACATAGCACACCACCCAAGACACTTAACGTTTATCTGACAAGAGCAGGGAAGAAAGTGCCAGCACTAGGTATCCACTCAAAAGAAGTTAACTTTGTCCTGAAGCAGTTTGTTTTCACTCTTACAAAGTACACTTTTTACCTTGTAATCTGGGGATATAAGGCTGACCTCAGCAAGGTCCCCTAGAGATAATATTGAAGTACCTGGTCTTCACTGTGTTTCTAAGCTCAGGATTGCTCATGCTTATTAATGATTTCAGAGTAAAAATGCACCTTTTCTAGCTGCAAAAAACAAGCTCAGTATTGTAAACAGCTCAGAGAGGACCTTTCAACCAGACCAGGCTCCTACTAGTCGTGACACACATGATGGTAGCCATCTTAACTCTACAATTTGTTTGGCAACAGGTCCCCGTTCAGCTGTTTCTGGCTGGCCTCCTGCCCAGATAGTTAAAAAAGTCTCAGCTTTGCTCAGAGATCCAACAGAAAAATAAGTTCTTGAAATAGCATTTTTTTCTGGACAATGAATTAACTGTTTCAGTGTCAATAAAGAGTCCTCAGACTTCCTCTTTACCGTACGGAGCCTGGTGGCTACTGGGGCATTTTTTCAGAAGCAAGGACTTTTTACCTTCCAGCCCCAAAGCTAACAAAAATAAATTAAAAAAAAGAAAAAGAAAAATGAAGCAATTGTCAGCAATAAGGGTTGTTTCAGAACTGGGTGAGATTAAAAAGGGACAAGAACGGTCTTTCACAGACATTATTCTGCCCTACAGCAATCAGAAGAAAGGAGGATCTCTTAAGACATGGCAAGAAGCTCAAGAATCTACATGAAAATGCAAATTTGAAAGTCATAACTTTAGTTCTGGTCCTAAATCCTTCATCTTGTTTTTATGACCCCCATATAAATAACCTTAAAGGTTAAAATAAGGGAAAGAATACAGATGGACTTTTCCAGTTTGTTCTGTTGTGGAGCCCCAAGTATTCCCCTCTTTAGAAAACAAAAAAACCCAACAAAACCCCCCTAAAAAACACAAACATTAAATCATTTCCCACCTAATGCAGCAAAATAAAGCAAGCCACCTAGAATTCCATTCTCTTCAGGAACCAAAAAGGCTCCTCTTTTTGTCACTCAATCTCTAGAGTGGTCTCACAGCTACAACTGGGGTTTTAAAAAGTTATGTCTGTTGCAGCATCTATGTTTTAAATGCATTTACTGCATAAATATGATACATTCCCTACATGTCGCCCAACATATTTGACTGCTATCATAATATAGTAAACTCTAGTTAACTTACTACCCCAAGGGAAATGCAAATAATGGTAAGTTACCCAGCAGTGGCTGTTTATCAAGTGTTAGAGGGGTGAGGGGAGGGAGGAGAGACAGCTGGCAGGGAATCAGAGCAGACCAGCAGCAAATTATATCATAGTGGCAAATTATACCATAGGCAAACTAATCAGTTTACCATAATTTGCTTCTGAATGAGAGCGATATGAAATCTCTTCACTCCAATTGCTGTTCATCCACTCATGCCCCTAAAAGCATGGCAGTTTGGAAACTTTTTCCTTTCTAGTCACATGGTTAACTTTTAGTTTCTTGTCCAAGAATTTCCAACTGTGAAATGAAAGGAATCTGTGAAGTTGTGTCTGAGCTAGCATAGCAGATATAGGAACAGGAATATCACCCAGTACTTCTCTTCCTACACAGTAGTATAGGCCAGCCTGAGTGATCCTCCCATGAAAGATCTGAAAGGACAGTAAGCTATGTTTCAAGGTTTTACACCAGCTTGCACTAATTGCTTAACACTTGTACTGCGTTTGGAACAGAATTGTTGCATTTTTACAATAATTTTAGATTTACCTTAAGTTTGTGTTTGTGGTTAACTTCTACTAAATGGGGGAACTCTCAATGCCCATCGGATATAAGGGAATGGATCACTAAAAAAAAAAAAATCCTTATAATCATTATTATTATTTTACCAATGGCTGCTATATAGGCATTTCCATAATGACATACTACTGTGCTGGAAGGCAATTTCATATAAATTATTTCCATGCTACCCACTTATAAAAGGTTCCTTCTTATTGAATATTTTTTTCTGGATACAAAATTGTCCTTTTCAGAGGGATGGTAGAGATTAACCACTTACAGTATACATAATTTTCTATGTTTGGTACAATTGGTCAGCACCTCAAAGGAAGCTGAGTTTTTCTAATACAGAACACAAATGCACCTCACATTGGTAAAAATCACAGATTCCATGCATTTGTAGTCTAGTGGCAGGAGATTCAGAATTTCCCACTATTTGGTAATAACAAAACAAACCACATTAGCACTTAAACTGATCAATGGTTCAAAGCAGTTAATTTATAACTAACAGTAAACCTATACTACTACCTTCATTTTTTTTTCCTCACTGCTGTACCATCAACTTATCTATAGTTCCCAAAGCAAGACTGGGGATAAAAAAAATGGGCTAGCTAAGGGTCAGCCTGGAATGCTGGCTTTCAGGACAGCAACTGAAATACCCCATTTTTACACAAATGTGTGCTTAGCTCTGGAAAATGCTATCAAGCTCTCCTCCTCAATTTCCACATATAGCACTGGCTTATCTAGGACTTCAGCTTATTCACTTAGCTTGAGATATTGAGGAAGAAAATATAATTATTCCAAGGATCTCAGGCAGACACGGCTGGAAGATCTAAATTCACAAGTAGCCACAACATAAAAGAAGGAAAGGTTGTTTAAAGTAAACCTGCTGCAGGTTTAATTCTTACCTCCAGAAGCCCAATTTCTGTCTCAGCTGTGGAACAGAATATTTGAACCGTACAATTTAATGTGCATGCTGAAATACAACATACAGTCACTAAGGAGGGGAACCCAGCTTGCACAGCTGCCAGACTATGCTCCATGTTATCCCTTCTTTCTTCATATATATTAACATTAAATCTTATCTCTAAATTCACATTCTTAGGATGTTTCTCTTGGACGGTCTTGAAGATCTGGAATAGCCAGGGCAGAAAATATAAAGCCATCCGGCATCCTGGTCTTCTTTTAAAAGAAAAGACTAGATTTGCTCCATTTAAATTTTTTTTAAAGAACAGGCCGTATTTTGGACCGTAACTAAGCATTCCTCTAAGCAACTGATCAATGAAAATCCATTAGAACACAAGAAACAGATCTTACTTTTTTAATACAATTCCTGTTGAAGCATGCCACAACAACAAAGCATCCTCTTCAAATGCACTCATTTGGGATGCAGCGTACTCTTT